ATAACAGCTGGTTGCTCGAAGTCTCTGTTCTCACCAACATTTGAAAGAGCACAACATTTTCATATTGGTATGCAGCAGGAATAGGCAGCTTATCACCTTGGATGCCCAATAAATTTTACTGCTGAGAATTTGGTCCTGAAGGAGAGTATTAAGGATTGCATTGGGTCTGGCTGAGGCAGAGCTCCTTTTTGCCTCTCCCAGTTACCATCCTTTTCTCAAAACACTTATGTTCCTGGGTTTCAACCCCAAAAGGTCTTGTGGGGTCATGCTCTATGCCAGACACCCTCCAAAGCTTCTCTGTCCCTCCCCTCTGCATCTGGACAGGGGAGAAAGAACATAATGAAGTGTTCATGGATTGAGATAAGGTCTGAGACCACTCAGCAAATACTGTTGAGTTAAAAGAGACTCAATTTAGGGATATCATTTGAATTTCTTACTATGAAAATCAGAGCAGTGTAATGAGAAGTAAAAATAGACCTTAAAGCACCTTCCCAGCTCTACCACCTCCCCTTCAGCAGTGCAGGGAAGCAGGATTGTGGTCAGTTCACCACACATTGTTCCTGCTGCTGCTCAGGGTGAGGAATCTTTCCCATGCTCCAGCCTGTGTTCCCTATGGGCAATAGCTCTCCTTGAGCTTCTCCAAAGTGGGTCCACCTCACAAGCAATTCTCCATGAACTGCTGTAATGTGGGTCATTTTTCCACGGGGTGCAGTTCCTCAGGCACAGCTGGGTCCAACGTGGGTCCTCCACAGGGTCACAAGTCCTACCAGGAAACCTGCTCCAATGTGGGCTCCTCCAGGTCCCTGGCAGGTCCCTGCCAGGAGCCTGCTCCAGTTGGGTCTCCTCCATAGCTGCCGGTGGATCTCTGCATCCCTGATGACCTCCATGGGCTGCAGGGCTACAGCTGCTTCACCCTGGTCTTCACCACAGGCTGCAGGGGAACCTCAGCTATGGTGCGTGCAGCACTCCACTGACTTTGGTGTCTGCAGAGTTGTTCCTCTCACTTACCCTGCTTTTCTTTGGCCACAATTACATTTATGCAAGAATTTTTTTGTTCCTGCTTTTTGAATCTGTTATCAGTGGAATTCCCACCATTTCTGGTTGGCCCAGCTTTGGCCAGTGGCAGGTCTGTTCTGAAGCTGGCTGACATTGGCTCAGCTGGACATGGAGGAAGCTTCTGGCAGCTTCTCACAGGAGCCACCCCTGCTGCCGTTGCTACCAAAACCTGGCCGTGCAAACCTAATACACGTATAAAGTTTTACAAAAGACCAAGCAGCAATTTTATTTTTTTTTATAAAAAACTTTCATATTGTTGGAGAGGTGGGGAATAAGGAATTTTTGACTTCTCTGTGATTGTGGTACAAGTGCCAGTAACTATTTTTATGATCTATGTATACAATCATCAGAGATTCTCTGGCACAATCTGTAACACACACTGGTAATTCTGTATGGGAAAAAAAAAAAGCAGGTGATTGCTTGTCTTTGAACACATTTAAGCTGCCTGACAATCATGACTCAGTAACATTTAAAAATTATGTTATGAGGTAGTATAACATTCTGAGAGTGTGTGTGTAGCTGGTGTTGTTCCTGTCCATCCTGATCATGTCCTTGCTTCCCACAATTTCATTGCAAGCAAAGGCACAGAAGAGACTTTTTCTATTTACTTTAGGAAAATTTCAGACTACTGTGGGTGAGATGAAAAATATTTTCTATTAAAGGGTTATAATTTTCCTTTCCTATAAACAAGTACAATGCAAGAAACCTGTTCGTTCATTTGCATACTATAGACTTTAAAATTCTGCTCAAAAGCTATTTGCATGGTTACTGAAATAATGTTGGCATTTTTCTAACAAGAATACCAGCTGTATTTCTGTGGATCAGTGCTGTGTAGGGGTGGGGAAATGAAATCCAGCAGCACTAGATATGTGTGGTAGGCTAAAAAACATCATGTAAGGAAAGTCAGGAAGTAAATGATTGACAATGCTGGCCTTTAAAAAGGTATAATTAGTCTGTAGTATTGCTGCCTATTGAGGCTTGTGCTTCCAATTTGTCTCAGGGTGCTGCAGTTTTTGTCCTGTGTCTGACTGCAGAGTCAAGAAGGAACTGGCGCGTGGGATTTGATTGTTTGTGCATAGGGAGGTTAACATTGCGTGGGTTTTTTTTAAAAACTCCTTCTTGAAGGAAGCTTTGCTTTTTTTGAATAGGAAGCAAACTCTTTAAAGTGCCTCATGAAGGCAAACCCCTCCAAATATGTGGATTTCTAGTCACTACAGTTATTTTGTATTGTATTAGGGTGAGAAGAAGTAGAACATAGTCTATTTAATTCTATGAAGAAGTCAGAGGTAGACTACACAAAAAATAAAGAATCAGAATAGTTACTATGTAGGCCAGGACAGGGTGAATACATACATATAACATTACCCACTCCATATGAAATGTGCAATTTAAGGGCAGATAAAGTGTGCTTAGAAATTTGGAAATTTGCACTTAACTGTCCTAAAAGTCCTGAGGATTTGTGGATGTTAAATGTGAGGGCCTATGAAATTTTAATTTAAAAAATTCTTCAATATATTTGCACATTTCCCTGAGAAATCTTCTATTGCACTTTGATTTACTTAAAATATCCACCATTGTTTTCTAAGAGCCTAGAGTTCTTCTGCACAAAGGACCCTGAGGCATCACAAGAGTTACAAACAAAATGTTTGGCAAAAGGCAAAACTGCAAGTTTATGCAGCTGTTCCTACCGCTGTCATTTATGACAATGGTAACTCTTGCACCAGTTTGCATTTTGAGAGAAATCAATGTAATAGATCAAAGGCATTTGGAAAAGAGAATGAATTCAAATATTTGTCTGAAGTTGTAGCTCTTTTAGGGACTCTGTCAGACAACTTTGCATATGTGAGGTTGGTAACACAGCATCTAGGATAGGATAATAAAATTTGAAAACTGAGGAAATACTTCTCAGAAGCTTGTTGGTGGAAGCATTTATTGCATGTCATATTAATTCTGTCGATATTTTATTCTATGTTTAAATACATATTAGCCATTTACAATTGTAATGTATAATTTTTAAAATTCAGTGTAATTGGAGATAAAGATCTTCACTATTTTTTTTTCTACCTTTCTATTTCTTGGTCACGTATAAAACCTTTGGATTTACCACAGCAAAAATTTCAGTGGCTTCTAGAAGATCTGTGAAGAGAAAAAAATTTAAATATTAATCTCTTGGAAATAAGGGCATAGACTTTAAAGACACCATCAAGGCACAAATGTAAGGATCCATACTAAATTTTGAATTTTAAAACAATTTGAAAGAAGGTATGGCTTTTCCTCTTGCACAACTTTTGTGGTACCAAGTTGTGACTGACAAGAGTCCTTCAATTCTTAAACATTATAAACTTGCTTCTTTGAGAGATTTCCAAAGACTTGGAAATTCAAGTGTCAAGGTACATAGATAAAATTTTCTTTTCATGTTCCACTTTCTCTAAATGAAAGGATCAGATCTGTGGCATTTCTTTGTGGTTTTGAAACCAGAAACTGACAATGTATGATAGGAGAAATGAATAAACCCTGGGAAGGGAATTTTATAAATTACACAGGATATCAGTGGCTGGTCTGGAAATGATGATGTGATTTTTATGCTCATCTTGAAAGGGATGAAACTGATTTTGCATGTGGCATTATCTAATGAATGTGCAGCTGTGAATTATTTTTTACTAGTATCTAACTATTTTGACAATTTTCAGATAATTAATGAGATGAGCTTGGATTTCTTGAGGTAAGCTACTTGATTTTCTGTGTGAAACAAAGACTCAGTACCATGTAGATTGCTGGAATTGATGACAGCTGGGTAAATTCCTGTTGCTGAGATAGGGGAGTGATCCAGAAAATCAAGCACCAGTCCTTTTCCTTTTCTTATTTCTTACTCCACTGCTAAATTACCAGCTATAACCTCATTCTTTTAAGGCTGAAGTAAATTGTTAGAAGTGTTTTTCTAGAACATGGGAACGTGACTGAGCACTTTTTGTGATAGTCCCAGCAGTAGAAAATATCTAAGGTGTGTCCCACTGAGAGGCATGTGAGAACCATGAGCTTTTAAGCTAAGGAAAGAAGATGCAGAAAATATTGAGATCAGTTTGTTTCAACCCACGGCTTCATTTGTGGAACACAGGATTTTTACAAGCTACCACCTAGGTTATTGACACAGTGTGTTACAAAATTGCCTCACAAAGGGAAATGTATTGAAATCTCACATGCAGATAGCAGATGGACTAATTAGATAAAGTTATTTGCGGTAGATAACCAGCCAATGGTCAAAGCAAGGTTATCACAAGCGCTGGCTATGATTTGTGAAAAAATGATAAGTATTTGCAGAATTTGTGATAAGTTGTGCTTCTTAAATTGAATCTAGTAGTTATAGTGGACCCAAGACAAATACATATCTGTAATGATGTACCTGAAGCAGAAGACAAATTTCCTACTTTGGGTATTTAGATTTGTTTGTTTTCCAGTGCATCTTTTTCATGTTCTCTGTTCTTTTTCCCATTCCCAGTGAAAGCAACTACAGCATTGTGAGAATATAACGTGCAGGAGATTTTGGTTAAAGTCCAGTGGTTTACTGCCTGAGTCCAGAGACCGAATATGGTGTCCTGTTGCATGACAGAGTTCAGTAACTGTTTAGTTTGTTAGTGGCATACTTGGGATGATTTTTAATAGAAAAATTACCAGTTGATGAAGTTAGAAAGAGAATATAAAACTGAATAAGTGAGAGAAAAAAAAATGGAGAAATAAATAGAGAGGGGAAAAGAAATACAGTTACTCTACAAAAGAAGAAATGGATGGTGATGGTAAATGCAAGAAAGGAAAGAAATGTAAAAAACTTAGGAAGTAAACTGATGCAGAATTAGATGAGAAGAACAATCCATAGCAAAAAAAATTTTTTTTTTTTTTTATTTTTCTAAAGCTTAGTGTAAAAAGGAATAAATTCAATTGTCTGAAATGGTTGGTTGGATGTTAGGGTATGGAATGCTTGTATTGATTTTCATACTGAAAGTGTGTTGAAGGTAGCATGTAAATATTACAGTGCTTGTTACTTTAATCCCATATATCCTCAATGGCCACTTTGTGTTTAGAATTATTATGTCCATGGTAATCTTGCTTGGATATTGTTCCATTTCAAAAGTATAAGCTTTCACATTTGTCCTTGTGAATTTTCATTTCACCTTCAAAAGTGAAATTTTTTGCACTGGTTGCAGATACTTTCTGCAAAAGCTGCTTGAGGAATGCTTTTCCTGGGACCTTCATACTATGATGGTGTCAGGGAGTTTAAAATAGTACAACCCTTCAAGATCTTCCTCATTCTTTCCTTGATTTTGTCCAGGTGTGCTGGTCTTGGCTGGGATTTTTAATTTGCTTCACACAGCTCTTCATGCCAGCTCTTCACAGCAGCTGGTGTGGGGCTGTGGGTTGAATTTGTGCTGAAACAGGGTGATGAAAGGGTTTTTGGTACTGCTGAGCAAGGCTTACAGAGAGCCAAGGAGTCTTCTATTCCTTGTCCACCCACCAGAGGGGTGCTCAGGAATGTGGAGGGGACACAGCCAGGACAGCTGACCCCCACTTATGATATTCCATACCATATGGTGCCATGCTGAGCATGCTAAAGCTGGAGGAAGAGGAGGGCAGGGAGGGACATTTGGAGTGATGGCATTTGTCTCCCCAAGTCACAGTTACGCACGACTGAGTCCGGCTCTCCTGGAGGTGGCTGAACACCTGCTGCCCACGGGAAGCAGTGAATTCATTCCTTGCTTTGCTTTGTTTGCATGCGCGGCTTTTGCTTTCCCTGTAAATCTGTCTTTAGCTCAACCCATTAATTTTCTGGCTTTTACTTTTCCAATTTTGGTGCTTATTCTGACAGGAAGGAAATGAGTGAGTGGCGGCATGGGGCTGGGTGCTGGCTGGGGTTAAACCACAACACTTGGAATGAAGGTGATGTTCTTGCCTTGTCTGAAGTTCCTTGAGCTTTTCCATGGAAGGCAATGCACTCACTGGTGTGATGCCCATCTTACAGAATTTCTGCAGTTCTTGTGTGTTGCTTGAAACTATGGCCAGTACAAACAGTGTTTACCAGCTTTGTTTGGGATGTGCTTGACAGTTGCAGAAACAAGGATCAACTTAGCACTGATATCCTGGTGCTATTTCTATGTAATTACTGCAAATGCCTTTTTTATTTTATTTGAGAATAAAATGTACAATACCAAAGCTAAGGCAGTGTATGCAAAGAGGATTTTTGCGTTTCCACTGACCTTTTTATACCTTGATACAAAACCGATACAAAAACTCCAGGACAAAACAACTGGTTTTAATCTCATGACACCACTGTTTATACTGGAAATTAAAAAACCCAATGCCAAAATCTTAATGCATATACATAATGGTTTCTATGTCATAAAATGAGAAAGCAGATGCTTCTCCCAATTTATGTGGGCAATGGAAATTGTTAAATGATATTGGGAAATAGGCATGGTGTGTTTGTGCATTCTCAGTCAGTAACTGGAATTTGGTAGGCTGAGAAATCAGGATTTGTGGACAGCTGTGCAATATGTATCAGTGCATCCCAAGGAGCGGCACTTTGAGGTGAGGACAGGAGAGGACTGTGGCTGTAGGGTGCTGAGGTGAGGTTGGGGCTCCTGCCCTGGGAGTGGGGAGCAGGCAGCCTCCCCCAGCCTCCCGCCCAGTGCTGAATTGTGGTGGGTGACAGTGGATGGGTGAAGGTGAACCAGGACTGTTTGCAGAAATATCATAGAACTTGTATTTGCACATGTATTTTATTTTTTTTTTTAATTTTAGGATACTCTTCATTTAATCTGTACTTCTCTATTTAACCTTAAACTAAGTAAAAACTGGAATAGAGGGAAAGTAAGAAACCCTGTGTACAAACACTCACATTGAGGTGTAGACACATTGGCAAAATTCAGGTAGTCCAAAATTGGAGATGACATTTCATCCCTAATTTGTACCAGTAGGAAAATGGCTGTGGAAGTATGTAGGCTGGGCACAGAGTGTCAGCTGGGGTTTGTATTCCCACACACAGTCAAATGTTAATATATATTTTGTCTTTGAAGTTTCTGTTAAAAATCCCACCAAAACAACCTCTTAAGAAGTTAAACCAAAATCTGTGCTCTGTAAAAATTTTAAAAATTTTGATACCCACCAGTTTGCATGACTTATTAAATATAACTTAGTTTACTTATCCATTTTAGGACATTTATTTTGGCTTGTAAGTGTGGGGTTTTTTTAGAAAGCTTGTTAAAGGATATGTAAATTTGATTTTCGCTGCACATCTTTATATATAAAAATCAAAATTCCAATGCAAATATGTAGCCTTGGTTGCGCTGTAGCAATATGCTTCTAGTACATTAAATACCAGGAAAAAAATGTTGGGGGTACATTAGGTCAGATTCTAGATTAAATAATTCACCAAATCTATAGTATTTCCTTTGAAAAAATTCTGACTAAAAATCAAAGCTAGTTTTTAAGAGATGAAACAAAAAGATCAATTAATAAATAGTTACTTTAATAATAAATACTTTAATCTTAATTCTTTGATTCAGACTTACTAAAATTGTAATTTTCTCCTTTAATATTCCTCAGTTTGCTCATTAGTTTTCATCCCTTTTTATGTTCTTAACCAGATATAAAGCCCCTAAACAGGAAGTATTTTAAATGTTGACTTGGTCTTACGAATTACAGTGCAATACTAAAACATAAACCAAGAATAATTAATGGTATCAGTACAACAACTCATTTTTTAAGTAGTGATACCTTATTATAGGATACAACATTTCAGCTCTTTTATGTTTTTAAATAAAATAATACCTTAATTTATTTGTATTCCACCAGAATGAGTACATTCATTGCAAATTGCATGCACATAAAAGAGAAGTAATTTGTAAACTACATGATATCTTAACAATAAATAGTATTTGATCTAATACACGATGGTAGTGCATTTCTTGTTAAAACTGCAAGCTTTTACCAAAATGAAACCAAACTCTTATTCTCTTTATAAATATTTTAAATAATTTTTATGTACATGTTTCATACCAAGTATATAAAAATAGTATTTTTAGATAAATTAAGTGGTTTCATTTACATGACAAATAACGTGCAACATCTAAGCACTCTCTAGCAGCTCTATTTGGTTGATTGTCTAGATGACATGCAGCGAATGTCCTTTGCCTTCACAGAACTGACAAAAAGACCAGCAGGACCCACAATCACCTGAAGCAAACAGTGCCATAGATATTGTTTGGGAACAACAGTCAGACACTCAGGGAAAACCTTTGCTTCGATGAACAAAAGCCACCCATGACAGTTCTTTGTGCTAGACTTCCAGCTGCTCTGACCCTCAGGGTCTTTGGACTATCACAAAAGTCTGTCAAACAGACAGGTTATATCTGTATTCAAAATGTTTTTTCAACATGCTTCTAGAATCTAGAAATTTATTGTTTTTTCTATAGTATGAACCATTACCTTTTCTTACTTTCTATAAGTCTGAATTTTCACGTTTGTAAGTCTCCATGATCGCCAAAACAGGGATCAAATAGAGCAGTCATGCAGTACTCTCTAAATTTAAAACTGGCAGCTGTGGAACATGCTTTGAGTACCACTTCACTGTTTCTCATACATCTATGGCTTGGCAGTCTTTATCTTTAACATCCCTTGTGCTTGTCACAATGTCTACTGGGAAATCTGGGCTCTGTGCAGAAGTTACTCCGGCTGTTCCTTCCAGGTCCCATGATCCTGGCAGATTCTCAAGGCTTAGTGAGCTGATTGCTCCTTGGCTAAAACTTCCTTCCTCAGATCTGCTGGGCAGCACTAGGTGCAGTGATGTCTCTGATGAAGAGCACACTGAAGGAGAAAGCGTTGCTGAAATAGACTGAAGAGGAGTCAGGGTAGTGTCTGAATGGGGAGAAGTGCATCTTAAAAATTGCAGATTATCTTTCTGAATTACCTGATACTGGGAAGGGGAATTCTGAAGGCCTGTTGTAAAATAAAATTCACCATCCATAGAATTTTGCAGGTTGGGTTCAGTCCTTTGGGGACTGCTGCCTACAGAAGACAGATCTGTATTCCAAATGTCACATAGTGTGTTTCCACGACAAAGTTGTGCTTTGGTGCAAGAGAAATTGCCAGCTTGCATGTGAGAGCAAGGCTGATGTGTAGTCCAAGCCACTCGAGGCTGCAGACTGTCCATGGTGGGACTTCGAGATAGGCTGTGCACAGCACAGAATCCTGGAGACTTCTGGGACGTGAGCAGGTTTTCCAGAAGGTGCATCACATTCTTCATATCCTTACGTAATTGTGAGACTTCTTGACTTAAAGATGTCATCTGTTGTGAAAGGGCAAAATATCACAGTATTTATTCATGCATGTGAAAAGGAAGAATCAGATTTTTAATTAGACTTTTTCTCTTAAATGCTGAAACTGCTGATAGCATCCATTTGGTGCCATAAAATACATGAAGTCTTTCCTCAACACTGCTCTTTTGCGTGGGGATCAACTACAAAGCAACAACAGATTGGCAAGTTCTGAATTTGTGTTTTAAAGTTTACTGGCATTTGAACATTAATGGGGACATTTTTTAATGCCTTTGTAAGGATGTTCTGGGCAAAGAAAAGTATAGCTCAAACATAAAAGTAACCCATTCATGATTTTGAAGAGTAGAAAGTAAATTTGTCTCCATGATAGTTATCAATGTATTTTAGGTCAAAGCACCATCATTATCAGTAAAACAGAGTTTCTCATACTGATGCTACTCTGTTGAAAAACGACATGACTGCACATTAATCTTCAAGCTATATGTCAAAAAGAAAATAGCTAATTCAGGGAGCTTTTCTTTAGCATCAAGTAGAGACATCACTGATTAGATGACCTACACAGACTAATTTTCATTGTTCTGTCAGGATAGTTTTGAAGAAATCTGCTAGAAATACATTTCAGGCTGAGTTTGTGTTATTACAGACATAATAATTATAAAGAAATTTGGAGAAGAAAGTAGAAAGCTTGAATACATCTCCTACAGATCTATTTATTTTTCTCTAAGCTTAGAGGTCAAATCCAATATATTGTTTAATAATTTTGTAATGATCACACTGCCTCTGTAGAGAAAGTCCTTAAAGGGAGGAGACTCTTGAGTGGCAGGTGACATGATCTCTATCTCTGCACTTCTTTCTGCCTTGTCTAATTGAGTCAATGTAGATAGAAAATACCATGAGATCCTCTTCTGTCAGTAGAGATTAAACTTTAAATGCCTGGTAACTTCAGTTAATGTGAGAAATTAAAATATGCTGCCAAAGTGCTCTGTGAGCAGGTTTCCCATGGGGTCAGAGCAGCCAGTGAAGGTTCTTGGTACCATCAGACTGTGAGAAAACACAGTGAGATTTCTGGACAAATCAACCTCACAAGAACTCCTATATTCTGTTGGAGATGTTATTGCAAAACGTCCAGAAGCTTTTTTGGGTAGGATGGGGGAAGACAGACAATCAGACTCACGGCTATCTAGATTCACTGGTCATCAGTTCTTTTTAGGTTCATCACTGGCCCCTACACCTCATGGATACAGCAACGATTTTCTGTGCATAATTTCCCAACTTGCATCATTTTTCCAGGGCTTTCTGCAGATGTGCAAATAAAAATATTGACACTACCTTATGAGTATGTACCTTACCTAAACTATGAATGCTGTGTGAAAATATTTGCAATTTTAAAATGTCTTGTTTGGTTTGATTCTCATTTTTGTTTTCCATTTCTCATCACTTCTGAGCTTTTTAGAAGTTGCATCATCATTTAGCATGTTTCTTTTGCCAAGTCACTAAGAAAATACAGCAAAAATCAATCCCAGGATCAGCACTTGTGGCGTCCCTGAATTTCTGATCATTACACCTTGCTTTAGTGCCCAGACACTCTATTTTTGATATATCAGCTAGCTCATAGAGTGTTTTCTTCTCACAAATTTGCTCTTGTACCAACATAGGATAAACCCCTATAAAGTAGGCTTTAATCATTTCTAGTAGGATGATAATCAGAATAGTAATGCCAAACTTAATTCACCACTATCAGTAAGATCTGTTTGGACCTATTCTGGATGTCACATACACCAAAAAAACATGTAGCTTTCAGGATTTTACAGTGACAAGGTGAAAAGATTAAACCTCCAGTATTTATATTGCTATTAATTATCATATGTCTCTATATTATTGTAGTTCTATACATGCATAGCATACTATTAGTGTTCCTACCAACATTACCCTGTTTATGCTATTATTTTTATACCCTAGAGAGATCCCTGAGCAGATGCAAATAAAATGGTGTAATAGGGGGGAAAAATGTTATCAGTACTATTAAAAAATTTAACAATGTTTGAGAAAGTACAAAAGAAAAGGGATTAAAAGCCAAAGGATTTTTAAGTCTATGAAAGAGAAATTGAAAGCAGTATGGTTTCTTCCTGAGGAAAAAGGGCTAATTCCTGGCATGCCAGTAAGGCTGCACTCTTTTCAGGATATCACTGATTATTGCTAGGCAAAACAGCTACTGGTACAAATGGTTCCTGCTGTGCTAGGCAGACAGCTTTAAAATGATCTCTGAGATCCCAAATATACTCGAAATGCTGCCTTAACACTTCCTAGCGCTTGGAAAAGATACTGCAATGTTTCCGGGTGGAGAAACTGGGTTTTATACAGATTTAGCTTCAAGTAGCAAGAGGTGCTTCTCAAACTGGTTGAAAGCAATGTGCTGTGCCTTTTTAGTAGACTATGTTATCAGGAAAGAATATATTCAAAATAGAGGTTAAAACAAAAATTTTAGTACATGTATTTTGTATTTTAAAATTACTTTGACAGTTTCAGAAGAAAGTATTTTTCTTTACTACCAGTATTAAACTGTTCAGCAGATTAAGTATTTTGTTCCACGTAGTTAGGTAGGAATGGTGTAATGCTTGTTGCTCATTTAAATGGCTAAACAGATTTATTTTTCCTCCCATTATATATTCCAATATCTATGTTTTAAAGAAAAAATTTAAACTGGAATGCCCAGCTCTCATCATCGTTCCTGGATAATTCTGAATGTCCTAGGGTGACTTTAATAATAAACCCTAAATTTAAACAATGGATAAAACAAGACTTCTTTTCTGATTAGAAGCTGATTAGATTCTTATTTGTACATATTTTTCTCTCCCTGTGTCTACTCCCTTTTGAAATTCAAACTTCAAACCCAGATATCTTCCTGCTTTGACTCTTTCTAAACACCCAAAGAAGTGAAGATGAATATTGGCTTCTTGAGAAATGGAAGCTGTATTTTGGCAGAGTGGAAGAGCTGCCTGGCTTGTGCTGTATATGGCAGCTTCTCTATTCCCTTGCTTGGTCTTTCATTGCTTCCTCTATTCTAGTTTATCATTAAGTCAGGGAGGTTACCAGATAAAATGAGTTGTCTTTGAAGCTCAGATTAACTAACTGCTGGTATTCTGCTTCTTACTGACTGCATTGTTGAATGAATGAAACAAGGATTGAGCAGGGACAGACTCTTCATCGATCATCTATCAACAGCTCTGTGGGCATTGGTATTGTGGTGACAGATGTTTCTGATTTAATGGCTTTAGAAACAAAGCTAGTTGCAGAAAAAAAAATCCAGTGCAGCTAATCTGAGTTCAGATTAAATCTATAGGATTTGTGCAATGATATGATGATTCAGTTTCAGTGACATAAATCCAGGAATCTGGAAGGATGTGCAATTAGCTTTACCATGTAAGAGTAGGAAATTTGGTCATTTGCTGGCTCTTTAGCCAGCTCTTTGGTAGTTCCAGTGACCAGTTTGTCTGGGTAAATTGGGACACCAAGATTATTGCTATTAAACACACAAGGATAAACAAGAGAAGTACAAAGGACTAGAGTATTTAAATATATTCAACTTAACAGAAGTCCCATGAGATTCAGTCTAGAAAAGGGATTCCCAAAATGCAGTTTTAATAATAATTTGTGGCTCTTCACGGGGAGTGAATCTGGTGGGAAGGCGAGGGGAGGCAGAGCGGTATGAGAGGAAACTTGATTTAGAAGTATAGAGCACCTGTCCTACAAGGAAAGGCTAAGAGAATTGGGATTTTTCAGCCTGGAAAAGAGAAGGCTTTGAAATAACCTTCCAGTACCTAAAGGGAGGCTACAAGAAAGATGGAGAGGGATCATTCACAAGAGGATATGGTGACAGGACAAGGGGTAATGGCTTCAAACTGAAAGGCAGTAGATTTAGTTAAAATATTAGGAATAAATTCTTTACAGTGAGCGTGGTGAGACACTGGAACAGATTGCACAGGGAAGCTGTGGGTGCCCCATCCCTCAAAGAGTTCAAGGCCAGGCTGGATGGGTCCCTGAACAGCCTGGTCTAGTGGAAGGTGTCCCTGCCCCTGATAGGGGGGTAGAAACTGGATAATCTTTATGGACCCTTCCAACACAAAGCATTTCATGATTCTATGATTGTTGGATGTGGACTCCGCCTTCAGATTGGCAAAGAGTCAGGATGGTGCCAGCATAATGGTGACAATAAGAAAATCAGGTCTGGAAATCACTGCTTCAAGGAATTAAAAATTACCAGAGACAAACTGACCGACTAGCTATTGATTGAGAGAAAATGGAAGATTGTGGAAATCCCAGGTGGCTGGGAGAGGACAAGCAGGTAATATGTACTGATGAAAGGAAACCTGAGGTAGCATATATGATACTGGGAAAAATATTAAGCATACAATTTCTATAAGCATCTAAATGGATAGTTAAAAGAGGACAGGTGACATTATGGTTCTAAAGAATAAACCATAGCAAAACTATAATTCTCTTCTTTAACTGAAGAGCTGTTTTAAAATATAAGAAGAAACTTTAGATGTAATATATATCTTGTCAGAAGACTTCTAAGATGTTACTGTCCATCTGACATTCTTCTAGAACCACAAGAAAATATGAAGGGAACATAACCACCATAAGCTGGATTCTTACATGATTGGAAAGATTTATGACCAATAGCTAGCTGTCATCCATGGACATTTTAAGATATTCTTTTCAGCACCCTATCCAGATCTGTTTTTATTTAATGTTTATTTTGAATGTCTAAATGGAATTCATGTTCGCTTTTAAATATCAGTAATATGAAATTCAAGAAAGATAAATGTTAAACATTACATCTGAAAAGAAAATGTCAGAGGCATAAATATAATGTTCTGTCTATGCAGAGTATTATAGAAAATTGTCTATGGAGGTCTGCTAAATGACACTTTGTGGGCATTAATCATACTCCCAGGATATATAAACAGCATATCTTCTTTAATTGAACTCTATAAGGGGATTTTCTTCA